GGGTCCGCGATGGCGCCCGCCGCGCGGCCGCGCCGGCGGCCATTTCGGTGCGCGGGCGCGCGGTGATGGCGGCGGGGCGGCCGCTTCGCCTCTCTCCTTAGCCGCGTTGCGCAGCGATAAGTCCCGCTCGAGCTTGCGGGAGCGAAACCGGGTCTGCCTTTGCACTTGGGGCCGGGCTTTGCACTTGGGGCCCTGCCGCGAGGCCGCCCTTGCGCTTCCCGCCCGTGCCAGGTGAGAGCGCGAGCGCGGCCCGGCCGCGGGGCCGCAGCCGAGCGGTGACGGAGCGCGCGTGTCCCCGTGCAGAGCGTGCGGCGGCGGGCGAGGAGCCCTGGAGCCCCTGGGAGGCCGAGGAGCGCGCGGAGCAGGCGGCCGCGCGGCGGCGCCACGAGGCCCTGCGGCGGCGGCTGCGCCCCGCGGCGCCCGCGCGGGCCCGCGTGCAGCTGTGGGGCAAGGCCGCGCTGGGTAAGCGGGGGCAAGGCCGCCCTTCCCCTCCGTCCCCTCCTGCCCGCTCCCTGCCTGCTCCCTGCCCGCCCGCCCTTCCTGCTCTGCTTCCCTGGCGCTGGTCTGTGTGGGGCTGAGGTGGTGTCTGCAGACGGGAAGCACTGGGGAAATAGTAGTGTTTTCAAAGCAATGTTAATACATAACAATATTTAGGCAACAGTTCCCAACGTCTCTTCCCTTAAAGACTGCGTTTTACGCTTGTCAGAGTGGCACAAATGTCAGGAAAATGCCAGTGCATTTTAAATCGAGTCTAGCACGCAATATGACATAAATAGAGGCTTCTTCTGCATCTAAAATAATACCTTTTTTTTTTTTTTTTTTCTATTATATCTGTGCTTTGTGAAATAAAGCATTGTGTGGTGGGGAATAAAGCATTTTGTGCACTGTAATACACAGTTACTGCTGAAAAACCAGGGCTCAGGCTCCTCCTGGCCGCCTTGACACTTCCTTGTTCTTAAGTCAGCTTTTCTGAAAATGCAGATTTTTCAGCTCCAGTTGAACTTTTATTTGGCATAGCCAAACACATCATAAAAAATTTGATGCATTTCATAAGAAGTTTTAAAGCCTTATGGTGCTGATTGATACTTGCTCATTTTTAAGTGCTCTATGTAACAGAAGGAGATGCAGACAGGAGTGGTGGTGTCATGAGTCTTCATATTGACCATCATGACTGCTGAAGAATCCTGTTAGATGTGAAAATACCATCTTAACTATTTCCAAATTGTATGTACTTTGGTGAGCAAAGACCATTTTATTTAGGAAGCTCTGACATTGCTCAACCAAATACTCAAGTTATTCTTGTTTTTCTTTTAATCTCTCAGGAAAAAAAATGCTTTGCAGGAACTGTAAAGTGGGCAAAATGCATAGTGCGTATGTTCAAATTCTCCGTCATATCTTTACCATTTATGTAGGTCTTTACCTCTGGCAACATATTTTTGAAGGAGTCCTTGAGCCAGCTGATGTGAGTGCACAATGGAGAGAAGGAAGCCAAAGTACAGGAAAAATGCACTTCAGGTACTAGCTGCATGGTATCTGCTTAGTTTGTGTTTATTTTAATCTATATGTTGGAAACTGAAGGAGTATAAAGAAAATACACATGTGCATTATTTTATCCATCTCCTCGAAATGCCTTTTTTTAATACCTTTAGTTGCAAATTCCTTAATTTTATAGTGTTTTGTTACCCAAGGAGTTTTTTCTTACTTTTAACTTCAGTTATGACACTAGCTCCTTAAAAAAAAAAAAAAAAAAAAAAAAAAAAAAAAAAAAAAAAGGTATGAATTGGTTACTAAGATAGCATAAGGTAGCAGATGTTATAATTTGACAAGCTGGTACAAACATACAAATCTATCTGCCTTTTTAAGGATTAGTCTTTAGAAATTAAATAGCTGAAGTTCCATTTTTCTAGTCACATTAGAAAATTTATTTGGTAGGCCTTTTTGTAAGGAAGTGTATGAATATGGCTGCTTACTGATACAAAAGTTATTTCTCTGGGACTGTTGACCTCTTCATTGTCAGATGGAGTCACAGAATATTTGGGGTTGAAAGGGACCTCAGGAGATCATCTGGTCCAAGGCCCTGCTTGAAGAAGGTCAGCTAGAGCAGGTTGCCCAGACATTCCCAGGTATTTTGGATATTCCTAGGGATGGAGGCCCAACAACCTCTCTGTTCCAGTGTACAGCCATCCTCAGTGAAGAAGTTTTCTTCTTGTTCAGCTGGGATTTCCTGCATTTCAGTTTGTGCCCACTCTTGTGCTGCTTGTCCTGACTCTTGGCACCACTGAGAAGAGGCGACTCCGTCTTGCTTGCACACTTCCTCCTTCTCTTTCCTTCCTGTGGAACCTCCAAACAGCAAACGGTGACAGCTTTCACAGGGCCAGCGGGAAGAGCTTGTGGAGCATGGAGCAGTTAAGGCCTTCATCTGGGCAGGGAAACCTTTGTTCTCAGTTCTTTTCCCAGAGTGAGCAGAGCAGATATCGGAACATTAAAAAGTTCCCTGCCACTGCAGATGAGTGGTCAGGCTAGCGAAGACATTAACCTTACAGTGGTGGTGGGAGATGCTGTTTGGGAGGAGAACCTGGCCACTGTTTCAGTCCTTCCTCCTCATCTCCTCCAGGGTTTGTGTTGGCGATTCTAGGAGTTACATCCCTAGTTACTCTTCCCATCAGTGTGTTGGAGTGTGTTACAGCCCTGTTGTCCTTACATTTGTCTAGGTCCCTCTGAGTCTGCTGTTACTGTCTTTGTAACATCTTCTGGCAGCAAACTGCAGATACTCACTATGTGCTGTATAAAAATGGAATTTCTCATTTTTCAATCAGTCTCCTTCTGGTTTCTCTCCTGCTAGAACTTTACCTAATTGTAGTAATGCAGGTTTTGGTGGATGGCAGTTCTCTATTTACCCTGTCCATCCAGTCTCTTCTCCAAAGCGGAAGAGTCTCTGCCTGTAAACTCTTTACTTCTAAGATTGCCCTCCATCCGCTCAGTCATCCTAGTTGTCCTGCTCCAGGTATCTCCTTATTCCATTTGTCCTTCCTGAGATGTGGAGACCAGTTAATAATGATCAATTAGCTTGCTGATAATGCCCAACACTGTTGGGCTTTTTTAGCTATTGCTGCACAATGAACAAGTGGTTTCAAATGACTGTTAACAGTAACTTCTCCATTTGATGTAAGTGTGTTAGGGTTCTTGTGTCAGAGAATGAGGTGGTTTGAGAATCCTCTGAGATGCTTTTCTCCTCTCTTGAATGCCTGTTTATACCTTTGTCATCCTGTGGTCCTATCAGTTCGCTAGCTCTCTTTCAGTTTTTGACATATTTAAATAACATTTTCTGTCAACTTAAGCATCCTTTTACAAGGCAATTCTCAAATTGCGTTTAAATCTTCTTGATTTTTTGTTAATACTCAATCTGCCATGTTCTGTGTGCTTTCCTATCCTCCTTACTTGGGCAAGCTTTTCACTTTTTCCCCCTGAATCTTGGGGTTTTCTCTTCAACAGCCTCCTTGGGCTTTCCCTTAAGCTGTTTGGTTTTTTCTTTTTTTTTTTTTTAACTAGATTACATTATTTTCTTTTTGATTTGTAGCACACAATTTACAGACGTCTAATGCAGTACTTACAAGTTGCTTACAAGCTTTATTGTTTAGAGTACGGCTCTTAAGGGTTTTCATATAATTCCTTTATTTGATACTGAATATTTCTGTGCTGGATTTATTCGATATGCTCTTTCCTACTTCAGTCTCAAAATTAATTGTATTGTGATGGCTGTTACAGAGTGACTGTCTGACTAATACCGGTGATTTAGGTCCTGGATGTTACTGAAGACCCAGTCCAGAATAGCATCTTTTCATATGAGTACTAAGACTGGGAAGAAAAAGTAAGGACTTTCTAGGAAGCAGTCAGTCATTGCATACAAAAATGCACTCTCCACACCTCATCCCTGTTAGGCAAAGTTAGTTTTGCTCTAACTGTAGACACTGACAGCAGGAATTGTTACACAGCTGCATGAGAGTGAATTGCATTCACTTCATAGAAGAAAAAGTCCCGAGAGTACAGGCTGTGTGACGAAGGTCCTTAGAGGATGCGATGGTTTCAGTAATTTGCATTGGAGGTGTTTGTGCTTTGGCTTTCACAGCTTCATCACGGGCCCGGCCGTGGTGCCGGGCTACTTCTCGGTGGAGGCTGAGCACGTGGTGCTGGTGCTGAACGGGCGGGAAGAGGCCAAGGTGGCGCAGGCCGCCCGGTGGCTGCTCTTCGCCCAGACGCTCCTTGAGAGCCGCAGGATCCGGCACGTGGCCGTTGTGCTGCTCGGCAGCGAGCGGTGCCGCAACGACTGGATACGGCCCTTCCTGAGCCGGAACGGGGGCTTCGTCAGGCTGCTCTTCGTAACCTACGACTATCCGTTGGCTAACGAAGAGGACATTTTCCAGTGGCCTTTGGGAGTAGCTACGTAAGTGCCGTGGACACAAAGTATAGTTGAAGTGTGTTATGTCTGTGTGTGTGTGTGTGTGTGTGGAGTGGAAAATACCTCTGAATGTCTCTGCGCTGTCCAGAATGATGGTAAATTGTGGTAAATTGTGTACCTCAATTCAATTTTCTAAATCAAGCATTAGAATATTTAGAAATTACGTTCTGAATTAAAAACAGTATATGAGAATGACAGGGCTTAGGGAGCTGTGTGAAAATCGAACCTTTGCCTAGGAATGGTTTTTGTTTGGTTATTTTTACATTTAGTAGATCTGTTCTCAACATTTGTTGTAACTGCTGATATAACATGGGGATTCAAAATTTTTATAGAATCAGGTTTCAAGTAGTGCTTGTTTAGAATAGGAATGGCTTAGTATGGGTGATAATGTTACTCTTTAATTGCCTCTGCCCCCTTTGTGTCACTGGCCTGGGGCAGGGTTGCAGTCAGACCCAGTTCTCCAGTAGCCCAAGCTGGTTTCTCTGCTCTTCTCTTGCATCAACAAGTAGAAGCAAGCTTAGTTCAGCTACAATGAAACTGGAACAATGAAGAAGTTGATCCCAGCTCCTCAGCTAAAGCCGTGTTACACTGGCAGTTACAACGATGAAAATGAGTGAAAATGTTCCTTTGAGAGGCTACCAGGGCTATTTGCTGCTGAGAGGCGTGTTCAGAGATGCAGATTGCTGAGATGTTAGCTCTGCAGTAACCATTAGCCTGGGAAAATGTTTTTATCTTTGACATAAAGCATATTGTTATCTAATGGGTATCTTCTCATTACAGCTACAGAAATTTTCCAGTTGTAGAACCAAACTGGGCAATGCTACATAATCCAAGATCATATCTGTGCAACTTTTTGGGAACAATTTATAAAAATTCTTCTAGGGAAACCCTATTGGAAATTCTGAAACAGGATGGGCTTGATAAACTTTGCTGGATTGCAGCCAGAGAACAGTAAGTGCTTTGAGCTACTTCATGAAAACACTTTGACTTTCTTTCCTTATTCATTGTTACTAACCTTTTCTTCACTGTCTAAAAACTAGTACAAATAAACAGCCGTAAATGGAACAGAGAACATTGCAAAGTCTTTTTGTGTAGGTTGTCAGTAACTTAACAGCCTCAATGTTACAGAAAGTATGATTTTAAATGCATATAAAAATGTTCTCTGTATACTTACTATATGTAAAGACAGTCATTTAGGTCTTGGACACATTTGTTTATGGTGGCAGAAAAAATACTTGTCTTGCAGATTGTGCCTATTAGCGAGCTGCTAGAAGAAGACAACTGTGTTTTGTTTAATTAGTTTTATAAAGAAGTGTGGATTTAATCTTCTATTTCAATTAAATAGACAGGCCTTTGGACTAATATCCATAATGTTTTTCCCAAACAGTACAATACTACACAGTGTTTGGTAATAGGCATGGTACTGCTGAAGACGGCCTTGGTTGTGCTCAGGTTTTATCTGTGCCATAGAAGCTCCTGGGTGCTCTAGGCAGACTGGCCGAGTAGCAGGCTCCTTTACGTTGTGTTTTTGATGAGTGAACCTCTCCTGGTTTAAATATTGGCGCAAAACAGTTTCATCAAACAGTCCATCATATGTGTCCCAGCATGTCTGTTTACAAAATAATTTGTAATATTTTAGAAGGTATAATTTTAGAAGGTATAGAAGGTTTAGAAGGTATAAATTTAGAAGGTATAATGTAATATTTTAGAAGGTTTAATAATACTTAGGTTTAAAAACAAAAGTCGTGTGTATGTGTGAAATGTTGACATCCATGTGTTCATAACTTTCCCTTTAGTTATAATGTATTTAAGCCTGTTGAAAACTGTTAATTTTCACCGCTTTGTTTTCCTAGGTGGCAGCCTCAAGAAACAAATGAAAGTTTCAGAAATTATCAAGATGCTTTGCTGCAGAGTGATCTGACATTGTGCCCCGTGGGAATAAATACAGAATGCTATAGAATATACGAAGCCTGTTCGTATGGATCTGTGCCGGTTGTAGAAGATGTAATGACACCAGGTGACTGTGGAAATTCCTCCGTGCATCACAGTGCTCCGTTGCAGTTACTAAAGACCATGGGGGCTCCATTTATCTTTATTAAAGACTGGAAAGAGCTTCCTTCTCTTTTAGAGGAAGAAAAGAAAAAGAGCTTACAAGAGAAGATTGAGAGGAGAAGAAAGCTGATAGAATGGTATCGAAACTTCAAAGCGTGGATGAGGCAGAAATTCATTCATACTTTGGAAAAATCATTTTTACCCGATGATAAAGGATAAATTGCTTTTGCTTTTTTTAAAATCTAAACTATATTGAAAGCTTTTTTTTTTTTCTTTCTTTTTTACAAAAAAGATGAAATCCCAAGCTGTTCATTTTGATGTCTGTAGAGTTGCACTAAGAGCTAAGTTTGGCCCTCCATGCTTAGCCGCTTTTAGAGGGGATATTGACTTGGAAGGGTAGTAGCCTGCAATGATGACAACAGTAATTTTATCACTAATGATACAGTTTCCATGTTGTCTCTCAACTTACTAAAAAATTCTTTGAGAATGTACTTGAGCATGTGGACTTGTTAAACCCAGCATAGGAACAACATCTGTGTTTTAAACTGACACGTGAAAGCTGAGTGGTAAAGAATAATGTGTTGTGAAGGCATAAAAAGTGTGGTTATTGCAAGTGTGTCAGGTGTAGCACAATCCTTAAGATGTATCAGTGTTTATCGATGTTAAGCTGTAAGGGATGGTTTTGAAAATGAGACCTGATTACTTGATTGACATCTTTCCAAGAAAAGAGCCATTAAGCTAATTCAGCACTCCCATGTCAAATAAAAATGTTTGTTTCAAGGTGAAAACGGAGTGTTATTTCTTAACGGTATTTAATAGCAAGATGTTTTTCCTTTAATATCAACTATCAAAATATCTTCCTTTCATTTCAGTTTAATTTTAGGAAGTACTTTTCTGATGTTTTTGTGATGTGAGGGCTTCTTCATTACCTGGCAGTTGCAACTGTATGGTTTGAAGAGTGGGTCTTGTGTGAACCTGCACGTGCCTCAATCTCAGAATCTGCTGAACCTCTCACCTCCAGAGGGTGGTGGAAGTGTAACATTACACGTCATGATGCTACTTGGTGAGCAGCTTCAGCACATGTCAGTGTAGCCAAAGGAATCTGTTGTTTTTGTTTATCAGAAATGCACGTGTGCAAAAGGAAGCTAAGATGGGTAAGTCACTCTCAGTCACGTTAAATTCTTATAAAAAGCTCTGCACCTCTTAAAGATTTTAAAAGATGGGCAAATCAAAAAGTATGAAAAAAGTGTTTTGCACAGTCACCAAAGGAAGAAACATGATGCCACACGATGTCTGAGTAAGGACACACAAGTTTATTTCTAAACTCTCATGTGGCAAGTAAATCATAGGGGATGCCAAGGCATGCAAAAGAGTTAGCAAAATTCATCTTGCAGCAGCTTGCCTGCTCTTAGATTTGAAACAGAAGTAACTCACATTATATCTATATTTAGATAATCCCTGATATTTTAATCCACCTGTTTCAGTCCAACAGAAATTGGTGCTAGAAGTTTGGTGGTTTTTTTTTTCTTTGCTCATTCTATTTCTAGTGGTAATTGAGCAAAGAGTGAAAACATCTTGGAGCACAAGGAGAGTTCTTAACACATTAGGCAGATTGCTAATATATTTATTACTTCCTTAGTTCACAGTCCAGTCCAGATGACATCTTTTCTGATTTGGAAAAAGTGTCACCTCCGCTCTGCCTGGATCCAACTGCTCACTTTGTTCTTATCCCATGACCACCATTGCCTTATCTGCACCATATCCAAATACTCCCCTGCTGCAGGACCTTCTGCCCATTTGGGGTATTGCCCTGGCTGCTCATCTGCAAAGGCTTGATGGGTCAGAGATACAACCTTTTGTTTCTGTTGGATTCTAGCTGCATCTTTTTGTCAGGTCAATTATTATCCATGTGGTAGCTGTGTTTCATTAAACGTGGTGGCGTTTTATGATCTGGAAAGGGAAAGCCCATGCAATTCTGGGTGTTATTTTAAGGACACTCTGAAGTGGGGTCATCACTGTGGAAGAACTTTTAAAGGAAGAGTGAAGACTTGCATGGGAGAAAGTAGTTCAGGTAGCCCGGGCACACTATGAACTGAGGAAGAAAGTGAATTGTGTGTTGGGAGAACTGGAGGCATTCATAGGACAAGAGACAACATTCTCTGAGGAGCTCTACCAGCAGGTGATAAGACCAAAGGAAAGAGGTTAATGAGGGACTCAAATTGAAGGTAAGGTTTGATCAACGGTAGAGGAAACTGAAGAGAAGGGAAGTAGTCAAGCTCCTGGACAGAAGGATAGCTCACCCCTACCCAGAGAGAGAGCTGTTCCCAAGTCCAGCTGCTGAAGAGCAGTCTGTTTCCAAAGAAATGTCACCAGCTTTTGTAATAGTTCATAATCCCCTAGATAAGGGAGCAGCTTGCAAAAGATCAAGCCGTTGTTACCATTCTCAGATGCTGTAGGATCATGTAGTAGAATGGTATTTCAGTATTTATAGGTACTGTCTTTCAACGTCTGAAAATAAAAGTGATGCAGGTAAAAGTTCTGTAGGAGCCTTGGTCGCAATAACCATTAAATACATACTAGGAATCCTATGTGCCAATGTCACCAGTTTCTTGGCCACTGTTCTCACCAAAATACTTGAGAAACCACAGAATAAAACTCTTACTTCGTGGCAAAACTACATGTAGTAGTAAACTCCAAAAGCTGGGCAAACTCAGAAGCAGCTCCCATACTACAATGTCCTAAAATATTGCTAAGCCTTCTTCCTATTGGAGTGACAGAATTGAATGACGAACAAGGTACGTTTATTTCTGTCGTATTCATGTAGACTGACAATGGGAGAGACAAGTCTTTCATATACTATTCCAGCAGTGCCCTAAGAAGCTGTTGTTTCTAACAAAATTGCTCTTTTTTGCAACTTTTATATTCGTTTTGTTGCTTTCTGAGTCCAGAAAGACAAGTTAGATAGTTTGTACAGAAATATTTCCTGGGGTCAGTCTGGAATTTGATGTTATAAAATCTACGTTGCACAGCAGAAATTACTCTAAACTCCCTTGCTTTCTTCTCATCCCAAAAGTTGCAGAAGTTTTACAGTTTTAAAGTTTTACGGTTACGAAGATTTACATAGATTTCTTATTAATCACCAGTCCTTAAATCAAGACTAGTGATTATTGATATAAATAATATAATATAAATATAAGAATAAATAAACATAAAACACTAATATAAAATGGATAAGAAAAATAAGAAAGCAGATTACAAAAGGTCAAGCTACTGCTTATGTATCAGTCTTTAGCACTTAAACTCTTTGGGTGGGGTCACATTTCAGGATTCCTTCAGTGTCCCCAGAACAAGCAGAAACTGGTAAATGAATGTGTGCTTTCAGCTCATTAATATAAGTGCTTTCCATATTGTTAGTACAAATCTGAACATTAGGGGCTGCTTGAATGTAAAAATCTCTCCATGTGACTACTTTTAAAGAACTTAAAAGCTGAAAAGGCCCTCCAGAAAAAAAACTAAAGGCCAAAAGGAATGCTAATCAAAAAAAAAAAAAAAAATTCATACCTATAAAAGTTTCTGATGTTTTTCATTTAAAATAGTTCAGACTTATTTCCTTGGAGAAAATGCATGTGAGTACTAGGATTACAGATCGGTAAAATGCAGTGGCCAAGATATCGAGGGTAGACCAGGTAAAGTTAGTCCCCAACAATTGATGTTTTAGTATGCACCACTATTTTCAGTGTTTCTCATTCTAGATTCTATAAAAGTGCTTCACTCTTCAGAAAATGCTACACATTTTATAATGAAGAACAATTTGTGGTTTTTTTAGTTCCATATCCAAAAGACAGTACCTAGTTTTGAAAAAAAAATCAACCACAGAGTTGGTTTTGTACGTATTATGGTAACATATACCTCTTAATTATATACATACATATATATATAGAATTTTATATATATATTATATATAAAATATATATAATACATATATATATATATAATTATACCTCTTATGGTAACATATAACCTCTTAAGTTGTCTTAAGTGCCCCTGGCAGCCACTATTCATGTTTTCTTCTCTGAACACCACTAGGATTTTAGTGCCATTACAGTGAAAGCTGTTATGCTAAGATGCAAGATGTTTCTGCTCTGTGGTCTCATAGCTCTGCTGTGTTTTGGAAACCATGGGGGCCATGCCGTATCACGACGCCTTTTCTCGGTCAGTCTTACACCAATCTGATCATGGAAGGGCAGTTTTAGGAAAATATTCTCAGACTGCTTCCCTTTTGATACTCATCAGTCCAACAAGCTGAAATGTGTACTTTTCAGGTGACAACTTTCACCATCACTATGATTTATTTATATATTTATTTACTTTACTTCAGGAATATGTCTTTCGTAACTTGGACTGCATTTTTCTCTAGCTCTTTTTTTTTTCACATATGCAAAATAGAACTGAAATATTACTCACAATTTCAATGAAAGTGATGTTTTCAAAAGATGCAGCATGCAAAATAAATGCATCAAACAAAGATGAGTCATTCGCTACGATTCAGACACTGAGCACACTGAAAGAAGCAAGTTTTGCAGGTGGCTAAAAATAAAGACAAATGAATCTCTGGATGACTGAAAAGAGCCTGATTCTTCTAGATGACGTGATTCAAACCACATAACTATGACAAATGACATATTTTGAAGTTTGCCAGATATCAGAAGTTGCACTTAAGGCTCAAAGTGCAAAGTTTGTTCGTATATTTCTTTTGCATTTTGTTTTCTTCTTCCGTGGTGCTCTTTTTTGAAGATTAAGGCTACTTGACATGAGAAGAGATCCATCTTGAGTAATATTTACACTGGGAAATGGGAGATGCTAAAAAGCCCCTCCTATTCTCAGGTGTGACTTAATCAGGGTCAAGCCTTTGCTCTGAGCAGGACAGAGCAGGCCCTGGTCTGCCACATGTCATTTCAGAGTCCTCATCTCACGTGAGGTCTGCACTGAGCTTCTTTGGTCTCAATTTTGCCTGGAAATGGGAGTTTCCCATATGGTGGCAGAGAGCCGGGAACAACAAATCTTGCATATTTTTATGAGAAGAGGGTAACTGCTATGGGAGACAGTAAAGCACCTCTGCATGAAGAAACTTGTTTACTTAAAAGATCAATGGAAGAAGAAATTCTTTCTGAATCTCTCAACAGGCCTCTGGCACAACAATTGATTTTTCTTCTCTCTTTCATTTCT